ATGCATTCTAACCAACGGTGGAGATTGATTATCTAGAATCTTCTCCCACCTTCTTCACACTTCCATACTTATCTACTAGTATCTACAACATTCTAGAATTCTCCATACTACTCCACACAACTCTGGAGAACTCTAGAACCTTCCACACACTTCTACACATTTCTACACATATCTAGAAACTTCCACATAACTCTAGACTATTCCGGAAGACTCTAGAAACTCCACTTGCCATGCAGTTGCCATGCAGCGTCCTCCTCAGCGTCTGCGTGTCGCCTGCGTGGCATAACCTCCATAAGCGGGGCGTGACAGCAGGTTGTTCTAGTGGGGTGACAGTTTGTGCTGGGAAAGACCTACACTTTAAACTGACTAACGATTCAGCTATGGCTCTACTTAAAGAGCTCAGGCTTTTTGAAGCATTTAAAGGGCTGAATTGCCTACCACTAGTGAATGAGGCGAATGATGTTTCACAGTTTGTTAACTGAGACGGATGATTTGGAAACAGAGGGGGATATGCAATTAGGAGAGGTGACTGGGGATTGGGTTCCTACTCAGCAGCTTTGTTTTAACGATTCTTATTCTTGGACGGACATGGATCAACCTGATGTGGATTTAATGGAACCTTTAACAGTTATGCGGCCAGATTGCTTGGAGACGACTAATGATCTAGGTATGGAATGGGTGATTGAGAATATTGGCGCAGTAAGTGAAGCTTTGGGTGTCTCTTCAGAGGGTAATGATGATTGAACTATGTCCATTCTTCACAAAATTGTTGCAGGAAATGACAATACAGAGAATAATCGAGGCAAAAAAGAAGTTAAAACCAGAAAACATCTCACACATCAGAAAGGGGAACAGGAAGTCAAGAATCTCATTTCTTATGTTAGTTATGAGGGGAAGGATGGGGCGACTAAAGAAAGGGGAAGGACCAGAAGTGGAAAATGGGAAGAAGGAGAGGAGTTGATCGTTTTTTGTCCTTTATGAAGCTACGAATTACTATGTGGAATGTTCGGGGTCTCAATGATCCAAACAAAAGAAGAGTGGTCAAGGTTGCTGTGAGGAAGTGGAATGCCCATGTTGTATGCTTGCAAGAAACCAAGATGGCTTCTATCACTAATGAGGTAGTCAGGAGCCTTTGGGGAGGAAGGTTTGTGGAATGAGAAGTGTTAAACGCCTCTGGTACTTCGGGTGGTATCCTTATCATGTAGGATCAAAGGTGGTTATCTAGTATGACATTTGGAAAGGAATTTACTCCTTGTCATGTGTGTTTTAGTTGGAGGAAGACAATTTCAGATGGGTTTTTTCAGGTGTTTATGGACCTATTATTGATAGTGACCAACCAGCCTTTTGGGAAGAGCTTTGCTACGTTAAGGGATTGTGGTCTATGCCTTGGTGTTTAGGCAGGGACTTTAATTCTGTTAGGCCCCCGTTTAAGAGGTCCGGGGTAAGTGGTCTTCCAAAATGACCCTGTTTTCAGAATTCACTGATAGTCACTTTCTTATTGATCTACCATTGGAAAGGGCAACCTTTACTTGGTCTAATGGCAGAGATCCAGTTACTTTTTCAAAGTTGGATAGTTTTATGATTTTTGGAGAGTGAGAAGAGCATTTCCCGGATGTTTCTCAGGCTGTTCGGGTTAGAGTGACATCCGATCATGTGCCCTTAGTTCTCGATTGCGGAGGAATGAGATCTAGACGCACACCTTTCCGCTTTGAAAATATGTTGCTGAGATCTGAGGATTTCAAGGGAAAGTCCAGTCTTGGTGGGAGGAAGCGAATTTTACAGGCTTTGCTGGCTATATATTAGCTAGAAAGTTTCAGATTCTCAAAACTGAGTTGAAGAAGTGGAACAAAGAGGTGTTTGGGAATCTTGAATGGAAGAAGAATAGAGTTCTTGCTGATATTGCTAAGCCTGATCATCTTGCTAAGGTGGGGCAGGATGTGGCGTCTTTACGCACTAGAAGAGCCTCTTGTGAGACAATTTTTGCTGAGATTGCTGTTATGGAGGAGATTTCGTGGCGTCAGAGTCTCGGGCATTGTGGTTAAAAGAAGGAGATCGTAATACAAAAAAATTTCATAGACTTGCCAACGCTCGCAAAAGATGTAATCACATCGGGCGTATCCGTGTGAATGGTTCTGATTTGTGGAGAGAGGATAAGGTGCGCGGGGGAATTGTTTCTTTTTATCAGCAGCTCTATACTGAGACTTTGGGATGGAGACCTACACTTGATGGTCTTCCATTTAATTCTATTTTTGGGGATAGTGATAGGATTGAGGTTCCTTTCACTGAAGAGGAATAGCTTAAGGCACTATCTAGCTGTAATGGCGATAAAGCTCCAGGACCAAATGGGTTCACTATGCTGTTTCTTAAGGAGAGTTAGGAGGTGGTGAGAACTGAGGTGATGGGCACCTTTCAAGATTATTATTCTCATGGCACATTTGAAAAGCCATTGAATGCATCTTTTATTACCCTTACTCCTAAGGAGGGCAGCGCCTCTGATATTAAGGACTTTCGGCCAATTAGCTTAGTGGGATGCACGTATAAGCTTATTGCCAAAGTTCTTGTTTTCAGGATGAGTACTGTTTTGGAAGGACTTTTTTGCTGAGATTTTTCTCCTTTGTAATCCGGGATTGTACAGATTGTATAGTTGTAGGATTGACTAATTTGTAGGTAATTAATTTCCCGATTCTTGTATAATTAGTTACCTAAATTTGGCTAGGTTTTATTCTATAAATTATATCTATCCCCATCAGTGAATATATCGATATACAATTCTTAATTCCCATATTTTTCCTCTGAATTGAAGTTGGTATCAGAGCCTACAAAACAGGCTTTGAATCTCTTTGAAACCTTGAAACCCAGAAATCCAACCCACTGTTCCACAACAAACAACCAAACCTCTTGAATCCTTTGAAAAAAAAAAATCTCTTTGAAACCTTGAAACCCATAAATCCAAGCCGTGGTGTTGTCCGTGTCGCTGTACTGTTGTCTTGGCGATTTGTTTATTTGAAGCTATTATTTATTTTTATTTTTTTTTTTTTTCTTTTTGGTGTCATAATACACTATCATATTGTATTGAATCAGAAGTTGGAAAAAATATATATATGAGTGAAAAAAATATTGAATCATCTGGGACAAAATCAGGTCCTATTGTTGTTCAATCAGAAGGTGTGCAGGTTAAAGAAATCGTTGTATGGGTTGAAACAATCTCCGAGAGCATGGTTTGGAAGGTTCACAAAGTCTATGATAGTCTTTGGCTACCGTCAGAGCAATTCGGACCACACTTTATTCCTGAAGAAACAACAAGGTAAGATAACTGCACTCATTGTATATGTGGATGACATAGTGGTTACAGGGAATGATCTTGAAGAAATGAAGGCTCTCAAGAATTACTTGCTCAGAGTATTCGAAATGAAAGATCTAGGTCCTTTGAAATATTTTCTTGGGATCGAAGTATCTTAATTTAATAAATGAATCAATCTATCTCAAAGAAAATATGCCTTAGATCTATTACAAGAGACTGGTATAACAGCAAGTCAACTAGCTGATACACCAGTGGAAGAAGGACTGAAGTTATGTGTTGAGTCCAACCAAGTACCTGCTGATAAAGGAAGATACCAAAGACTTGTAGGGAGATTGATGTACTTAGAACACACGAGACCGGATCTGGCTTATGCATTAAGTATTGTTAGCCAGTTTATGCATGATCCTGGAGAGCAACATATGAATGCAGTTATGCGCATTTTGAGGTATCTGAAATGTGCTCTTGGAAAAGGAATTTTTCTTCACAAAAAGGGCTGATTATCAAAGCATAGATGCATATACTGATGCTGATTGGGCTGGAGCCATAGATGATAGGCGATCTACGTTTGGTTACTTTACTTTCGTAGGAGGTAATCTTGTTATATGAAGAAGCAAAAAACAAAATGTTGTTACTCGCTCAAGTGCAGAAGCTGAATTCAGAGGTATGGCGCTTGGACATTGTGAAGCATTGTGGTTAAGACTTCTCTTACAGGATTTGGGTTATCTACCTAGGCAACTAATTCGACTATATTGTGACAATAAAGCAGCATGTGATATTGACCATAATCCAGTTCAACATGATCGTACAAAGCATGTCGAAATAGACAGATTCTTCATTAAGGAGAAGTTTGATGGAAAAATTGTGGAGTTGCCTAGGATTCGATCTGAGGATCAACTAGTCGACATTCTCACCAAAACAGTCTCAAATTGAGTGTTTTCAAAAAATTTAAACAAGTTGGACATGTGTGACATCTATACACCAACTTGAGGGGGAGTGTTAAGATTTGTTTCCCTTGTAATCTGGGATTGTACAGATTGTATAGCTGTAGGACTAACTAATTTGTAAGTAATTAATTTCCCGATTCTTGTATAATTAGTTACCTAAATTTGGCTAGATTTTATTCTATAAATTGTATCTATCCCCATCACTGAATATATCGATATACAATTCTTAATTCCCATATTTTTCCTCTGAATTGAAGAGTTTTTTTAGATTGGATATCACTTTTAGAAAAATCAATTTTTAGATGATTATAAATTTCCATTATTTTGTAACAACAGTTCTTACCACCTGAGCCATGTCAAACTCGAAAATTTTGGAAAAATGTCTAAAATTTTGGAAACTCGAAAAATGAGCCACCTAAGCCCAAAAAAAAAAAAAAAAATTTAGCCGCTGAAACATCACCAAGTAATGGGTGATAGTCATGAGATACTCTGCACAAGTGGAACAAAATTATTTTAAATCATTACTTAGAAAGAGTTCAGATGGTAGTGGATTGTGGGTCACCCAACTTCTCCACATTATCATAAATCATTTTCTTTTTCAAGACATCCGGTACAAACTAACCATTCCCATTCAATAAGACAAATATTGACATTTAAAAATTAAAATTTTGTTTTCAAATTTTATATTCTATTCAAGATTTCACATAGATAAGACCAAACTAACACAATTTGCTCAAAGTATGCATATTACATACCTCAGGACAAAGTGTGCGATGCTGCCCAGCTCTACAAAAATCATTTTCAATACCAAACTCCCCCAGTCTCCGCCTCAGAACCTCCGTTTGAACCGAATTAAACCCTTTCTCGTTTGGGTCCCCAAAGCACACTTCAGAAAAATAAAAATCAAAAACAGTACCATGTATAAGCCTCAACAAAAATATGCATACAATACATTAAACCGTGGGTGTAAAGGGAAATACCTGTTGAAGGAATGCTCGCGGCAGAGGCAGATGAAAGCCAAGAAGTTCTGAGAGACACAGGGTGAATCTTGGAGATGCGTTTTGAAGGGAGAGTAGAGAAGATGAGTCTATGTGTGGGTGAAGAAGGGGTTCTTGGTACTGCTGTGAAAGGTGTGGATTTGAGAAATTGTTTGGAGCCCATGGGAACGTTTGAGTTGAAGAGTTTGTGGAGAGGGCTGCGATAAGGGATACGCATTTCTGATCAACTGAAAGAGTTTGGGTGATTCCTCTATCAAGCTTCCAAGGCTTTAGAGAGATAGAGAGAGTGCCGGTTCAAGGGTTTAAGGTTTATGGTCCTCTCTCGTTCTCTCTCCTCCCTAATATAATCTGGGCGCCAAATAGGGCAATCCGATATATGGTCCTCTTTTATTAATTTTTCTTTCTGTTTTTTTTTTTCTTTGTTTTTTTGGGTTAAAAATTACTCGTATGATAGACGTAATTGATTTAATAATCATTTACAAATACCAACTTATGTGGAGGGTTTGTGCATTTGCTTAAACGTTTGAAAATAATTTTTTTTAAAATAAAATAAAATTTGTCATTTGCTCTAATAATGTTACAAATTAGGTCACAGCACAATCTTAATAATTAAAAAATTATTTGTTGGCTACCAATGTCTATAAAACTCGGTGGATCTTCTTTGTGTGAGATTTTTACGAAAACAAAATAAGTATATTAGACTTTTGCAAAGACAAAATAAATGTGTAAGTCTCGAAACCTTAACCTATACATTATGATTTTGAGATTTAAAAACCTAGGAAAAAGTTTTTAGGTTATACTCTAATTTTAATAAATGAAAAAAGAAATACTTTGTTAGGGTTGAGTTTGCTATCATGATATGATAATGTGAATTTTTTTTTTTTTTCGATAATTTGGTCATTTTCAATCTTAGTAATTGAAATAAATAATTTGTTGAATTGAGTAAATGCTAACATGGCCAAATAATTTCAATCTTAATAATAGAAAAAAATTGATTTGTGAAAAAGAAACAATTGTAACTAAATAGGTCCCACGGCCGCTAGAACTCTTTGTTTTTGCGTGAAAAATTGGTTACTTGTACCAATCAAAATATAGGATTCTAGCAGTAGTTCAGCCATGTGGTAATTACCTATGTATCCGACGACTCTCTAAAGCATACTACAAATGTCGTTTTGCTTCTGCTTTGGGCCATGTAGGCTTGGGCTGGTTAGTTTGGGATCATTTTGTTTTGTTTTGGTTTGGTTTGGGCTTACCTCTGTTACTTTGTGGGCTTGCCTGTTTTGTATAGTAGATTATATCCATACAACACACTTACCATCCAGGAAAAAGAAAAAGAAAATTTGACGGACTCATTGGAGCAGATTAAATTGCATTCAATACACAGTATTCATTTTGTAAGTTCCCATCACTTGAAATGAAGAATATTGAAAATGAATGTGCGAAACTAGATTGCACCTACATGGGGGGCAAAAAAAAAAAAAAATTGTAAAACACTTTATGACTAATGAAGAAAACCTAACTAATAAAGCAGATTAATCATAACTTTAGAAAGAATGGATAAAATGCATGTTAGTATTTTAGAATGTTCTCAAAAATGCCGCCGCCTTTTTTTTTCATTCATTTTCCAAACGACGAATTTGAATATATTTATTCATCTATCACATCATATTTAGCAAGATGATGGCATAATTTTATATTAGTTTGAGAAAATTTAAATGTTAATAATTATGTGAACACATTCTTTGTGTGTAGTGTGTAAGTGCATCATTTGTACACGTCTCACACGCATTTCTAGCACGGCCTGAGCTTAGGCCGTTGCATGCAAAACCCAAACAAACACAGCTGGGAATAACAACAAAACTCACAAGGAGAAGGAACAAACAGAAACACCCCAACTTAGAGCATTATGTACACTCATGCTACGATTTCAAACTCAGAGCATTATGTACAGCATTAAGAATATTAGGAACATCCAAACACTGCTAGCTAGCTAGGAACATCGAAACTCAGAGCATTATGTACAGCATGCTACGATTTCTCTGCCTAAGAACTGATGTCGGCAACCCCCACTCTGCTGCATTTTGACGAGCCATAGCAGAATCCAACTTCATTGATTGCCAAACCAGCAAGCTGTACAGATGTTTTTAAATCTAGTCCTTCCTACATTTTGAAAATGAAAAAAATATATATATATATCCTGTAGCTTTTCACTACTAATAGGTGTTGTGTTACAAATGAATGGATGTCTACCGAACATGTGGTTAAAAAAGTCGTGGGCTCAATCCCTAATAAAAAAAAGTCTGAGTTGGCTCAATCCCCAATCAAACTAGATAATAAGGGAATTTGATAGATAATTGATTAGCAGCAACAATTCAAAGATCAAGAACTGCATTGCCAGCAATTATCCTGCTTGGTTACTCTAGAAGCAGGCTCGGCTAAATCGCAAGTGTAATGAAATGAAGCTACAATGTCACCTCTGAGGCCCAGAAATTTGTTGGTCAGCCCCAAGAGAGCTTCTAAGAGTGTTAATTTTTTCTCATCCTACAAAAGAAAACAATTAAATTAACACATGCCACAAGCACCACAGGTAAAAGGTGTATTAAATTAACTCTATCCCACAAAAACAAAGGAAAACAATGTAACCACATCTAGAATCAAATTAATTGAGTCCTATAAAAGCGATCAATTTATCTTATTTATATGAATGAAGAAACCAAATCTGCATCCAAAACAAACAATATAAAGTATATGAGAATAATTAAAATATAGCGCAAGAGAAAAATAAAAAAGACTTCATGAGAATAATGAATAGGAAACAAACAATAAGCGACTATTCAAGAGTCATTTCCTTCGTACATCATCTTATATAGCAATTCCAGACGCCGCTCAGACGGAACACCAAAAAATGCACTTTTGTGCTGAGAAGATTTGAGAAGGAATAGATATGCATCCAACTGAATATAATCAGGAACTCCAATGTTTATCAGTTCCGCATACACTTCTTTGTCTGAATGACAATCAGATCGTGCTTTCTCAGCTATTGCAACTATCTTTGCCGCAATTTCGAGTCCCCTCTCAGCAACAAGATTTCCCTTTTCAATTAACTCAGCTACTTTGTTAATTCCATATCCAATAGCTTCAATATCTTTCTCAAATAAATCAACCATTAGATCCTTTCTTTTTGTACCATTTGAAGATCCCTCACACTCTGAATTTGACTCATAGTTGTCTAAATTACTATCAATTGAGGTACCATTATCCGATGCCCATTTGTGAACTTTTTCCTCTACATTTACAAAACCTTGACCATTAGCTCTATCTTTTGCAAAAAGTTCATACAACTTACCATAATGGTTTATTTTGGTGTGCCTCCATTTTGAAACTGATGGTTTGGCCTAGAAAAGCAAGAATTGTATATTACGCATCATTCGAATATATATATATATATATATATATATATATATATATATATATATATATAACGATTAAATGAACTAAAAATAAAATAATTGAAATAAAACTCTAATAAAATGCCTACCTCTATGAGGGCCTTCCATACTTCTGGTTTACCCTCAAACATTTTCGTTTCTGGATTCCATGATATCCCACTTAAATTTGTGAATAATTCGAAACACGTGTTAAAATTCTCTCTCAGTGTAAACATACGATGTTGGACGTTATATTTTTCAATCGGATAGCCAAGTTTTTGAGAGCATATCTTCGCAACATTTGAATATACAGTAGGAGACGTGAAAGTTCCATCAACTGTATTCCCATTTTCCTGTTGCTCCAGTAGTGAATCAAGTAATATGTCATCCATTTCTTCAGTCCATTTTATTGCATCTTTCTTAATTTCATTCACATTCGCATCTTTATTTGATTTCTTCATTTCCACAACCTGTAATTTTTTTTTTTAAAAGTAGAAATATAAGCCCACAAATGACAGAAATTTTATTATGAAATATGCATCTAACATAATAAAACAAAGTAATTACAAATAAAATGTCATAATTATTCAATAAGTTAAAGACATGAAAGTACTGTTACAAATAGTAAAAGGAAAAAAGAAACATTATGGCCTTGCTTGGTTTGTAACTCTAAGAACAATTTTCTGAACAAAAAACAGAAAACTGTACAAAAAACTATGCTTCGTTCAGTTTTCTGAAAACTCAGTTATAAAAAAGTTTGTTTTCAAATAACTGTCTTTTATTTTTTGGATGACCCGGGGTATCCGAGGCTTCGCCCCGACTAATCCCCAAGGACCCAGGAAGGGCGGCCTCCCCACCCCGGCCAAGTAAGTCGCTGAGTATGGCAACGGAAGCCTGACCACAAGTTGTCGTAAGCTCCTAGTGGGAATTGAACCCCAAACCTTAGAGCTAGTAAACACCCAAGCCCAAGTGATTTTACCACTAGAACTGTTTTTAAAGAACTGTCTTTTATTGTTATTTGAAAACTGTTTTTTGTTCTCTGCATTCTTGAGAACTGTTTTTAGAGTTACAAACCAAGTAAGCCATGTGTTTCCTAATCTTCTCCGGACAAGTTTTTTCGGCGTGTACGACACATATCAAGCCGTGTCCAACACGTGTTTCTTGAATATCCGGACACACGTTGGACACGTGTTCAACACGCCATGGATACGTCGAACACGTGTCCAACACACATGTCCCATTCCTGGAGATTATTAAGAAAGTTTTAGACACAGGTCGAGTTGAAGTATAAATATTAGGAGTTGTTTAATAACTTTCAGCAATACATAAAAGTAGTTGTTTAAACAACTAGATATTATCCTTATATTTTAGTTCAAGGTTTAAACTCTTGCACAATCATCTTTGACTCTATTGTTCTTCCACCAACCAAGCTTTGCTACCGGTAGATGGTCTCTCTATCTCTTTCTTCTCTTTTCTCTCTTCTTATTCGTCCTCTTTTCTTTCTTCTTCTTATTCTTCACAAATCCTAGATACTTCTTTTTTTTTCCTTTCACAATAAATTTCTTTTTGCGTTTCTTTTTCCTTTTTCCTCTATTCGCCATGAACTTTTTTCTCTTCTATGGATTCTTACCTTTATTTTTAACTAAGGCCTAATTCTTATTCTAACAAAACCCTAATCCTCCTTGTTTCTTTGTTTTTTTCTCTCTTTCTATCATTCTTTCTTTTTCCCAGCAACACAACAAAATTTTCTCATTATGAGGTTGTAAAAACTAACATTACTCTCAATTTCTTAAAGTACAACATCATATATATAAAAAATATATTTATTATTTGTCGTGTCCCCGCCGTGTCCGGGTCCTAATTTTTCTGGATTTGCCATGTCGTGTCATATCCATGTTCCGTATCCGTTTCCATGCTTCTTAGCTTATAATTGATCCTTGCTTAGCCTCGTCATCATTAGTAAGTGTGTCTCCCTCCTCGTCAATATGTATATCAATGTTCACGAGGTCTCGATCAACTTGTTCAATCAATATTTCATCACGATCTACACCCATTAGATAATTATGCAAGATACAACATGCTATAATCTTTGCAACTGTATCAAATGGGTAATGAGCCTCTACACCAATTGAAATAATTAGAAATCGGTTTTTAACCACATCAAATACTCTTTCAATTACATTGTGCAAGGAAGAATGTCAGAGATTAAATACTACTTCAGCATTTTCTAGTGCATGTGATGTGTATTATTTCAAATGGTAGCGATCAGTGAACACCTCTATATGGAGTTATTAGTCCACTCTTTAACATATAACCTCCATCCACTGCATTATATTTACCTAAAAGAAATAAGAAAATTATTCGTTACTCTTTTTAACTAATAAAATCATAAACTTGATACAAATGACTATAAGTTACCTATAGGGATTATTACTTTATTTTCTTGACCTAAAAGAACCTTTTTTTATGACCCTTGAATCAGATGCAGATCCTTCCAATCCAACCCAGGCAAAACATATGTAAATTTCATGTGAAATGAGAATGCCGCTAAGACATTTTTTTGTTGGATAATCTTTTTTGTTCATAGATATCTTGGTCACTTGGTGTATCTATTTTAGACACTTTCACACGAATATGATCAAATTACTCCTACACAATCCTGAAATTTATAAAAAAGTGTATTATTATTGTTTTATATGTAGAAAATATTTAATTTACAATATTAATGGTATAAGATATACTTTTACCTTGAAATATAGATAGAATCTGTTACTAATGCGTATTTGTGGAGGGTCTTCAGAACCACTTGGTTGTTTTAGGTATAAATCTTCTAAACTGATTTTTTCTTTTAGCACATCATGAAAATGGCGACAAACAGTCTCGCCAGATCGAACAAAGAAGAACTGAATGGCACGATTTTTCATGTTATGCGCTCGGACATAAAGAAACTTACTTTTTCCTCGACCAAAGCATTTCTATGTACAACGAAGTATGTTACACAATTTAGCAAATGCATAGGGTCCCATACGTTATATGTCACGACAATTATCACTAGAAGCAAGTTTTTTCATTAGTTGTTCACTTACGCTAAGTTTTTCCCCAACGATGTCATTTATTGCCCTCTTCACAAAGTGTGAATGGAATGTCATTCCGATCACCTAAAGTACGTGAAAATAATAAATAAGTTCAACCACCTCCATTTTTCATCTCCATTCCCAACTATTTAAATATTCTACAACATTTTTCGACAAAGTTTCTTTTTCATAGTCTTCCGGTTCATCTGCATCATTCTTATCCCAAGTCCCAACTCTCATTTAAAGTTCCTACTATTTCCATCTAGCAAATGTATGTAATCAATAAATAATTTGTAACACAAATGATGGGAAACCAAAGTTATTACGTAGTAACTAACGGGACTCCTAAATTTTTAGCTAATTATCATTCTATATATATATATATATATTAACTCACTAAACCATATTTGACATAATGGTAAAAGTGTAGCATGAGAGCTTTTTTTACCATTTAATACTCTCCAAGGTACTAAACTTGAGAGGAATTTAAGCATTGCTACCTTCATTTTTGTGATTTTGAAGAAGGGTCAAGTTGTGTACTTTAAGAACTCTAGAACTTTATTTGTTTAGCGGTTTAGCAGGTTGCATATATAAGCTCATAGCATTTTGAAGGTGGTAGATAGAGTGGTATCAGATGCCTCAAATGATTCCTTTGGAGGTAGGCAGATTTTGGATCTGATACTGAAACAAACGAACATGTGACTTTGAGAATCAGACAAATTCGTTGTTACAAGCAAGCTTCAATCTGGAGAAGGTACATGTTTATGTGCTCTAAGGGACCCCACAATGAATTATAGACGGGAGGATATGGTGTCAGACTGCTGGTGGTACAATAATATGGACCTGGCACATTAGTAATTCATCGTATAAATTGGTCAGATATCACAATGTCAGCTCAACATGCTCGAGCTTTCAATAATCACAATTTTTTCACGTCGAGGAAGAAGAGAGAAAATGTGGTAATGAAGGTTGTATTTTAACAAGATTTAGAAATAAACCTTGATGACAATAGCAACATAAAAACCTAAATATAGAATTATAGATGCATGATCTCAAATAATACATTGTATGGTATTACGATGCACAATCTTAAATTTTTTCTTTGCTTGATAAACAAATGATACCTTGATTTGGATTGATGAAAGACTTGAGCAGTCTTGCTCATCTTGCTCATTCTTAAATATGTTTTTAGATTTGAGTTAAAGGAACCAAAGAGAGCAAGATTCTCAATTTGGTTTGAAGCATCGGGTATCAACATGTTATTCCCCTCCCTACCACCACAAACCCCCCCCCCCCCCCCCCCCCACAACAACAATATATATATATATATGTATGTATATGTACATACACAATCTGAGTATATTTTGATATTGTCACTCAAAATATGATGATTTGGTTTTTTGGAATATTATGTGAGAATTTTTTTCCTTTTTTTGAAGAATTTCATGTTTGTAATGCTATGTAATCCTAGACATTCAGACTTTATCATGTATATTCGTTCTAATTGTGTGATGAAAAGTTGTAGTGTGCCTGTAGTTTTAAGGGTGCTCAAATTTGACATATTTAGAATTACAAGGTCAACACCTGACCTGACATAAAAAAATAAATATCTTTATAGTGCAAAACAAATTGGAACTTTTTAGAAGACTCGGGACAGTCTAACACCAAATGTCTGAAAACAAGACTTCTACTGTAGCTTTTAAATCGCACTGCAGCGTTTTCTAAGAAATAAAAACATTTTAAGTAGGCTTGACTCATTAATTGAACAAATCTAAAAAGTGAGGTCAAGCTCTAATAATTTATCTAATGATTGAACATGATCTAAGCCTTTAACGAGTCAAAACTGAATTCTTCATCAATAGTTCGGTTCATTTGCAGTCCTATTAGTAACATCTTTTTCAAGTAATTGAGAAAAATGAGAATCTTGACATTCAAATTTTGTTAAACATTGCAATGATGTATCATAAACAATGCGCCAAAGCGGTAATATACTCTTCCAAACAATGTTATGTATGATAATTGATAAAAAAGAGTTCAGAGGACAAACAGCTTAGAAGAGCATTTAAGAAAGCAAATTTAACTACAAGGAAGAGGGTATACCAAAAATAAAAAAATATCTACCTCATCACAGCGTGGTTCCAACTCCAAACTCTTTTCTGTAATTTCCATCTCGTGCTTAATTTTTGGGATATGATTCATGATTCCATAGGTTGATTTACCATCTGCAAAGGCCTGAAGCCAAAGGGCCACAATTGAAAAGGGGAATCTCAAATAAAATAAAGAGTCTGAAAGTTAATGCATATAATGAAAACTAAAAACAACAGAAAGTTACGTGTGTACTACCCGTGTACTGCACTTGAATGTTTATTGCATCTTTCTTAATTTCATTCACATTCACATCTTTATTTGATTCTTTCATTTCCACAACCTATAATTTTTTAATATCATATAACAATAAATTTTCTATATCATCACACACCTTTCAAAAATAAAAAGTAGAAATATAAGCCCACAAATGACAGAATTTTAATGTGAATTATGCATCTAACATAATAAAACATAGTAATTACAAATAGAATGTCATAATTATTCAGTAAATTAAAGACATGAAAATAATGTTACAAATAGAAAAACGAAAAAGAAACATCATGGTTCCTAATCCTCCCACATGTTAGCTGCCATGGCACTCCTTATAATTGATCCTCGCTTAGCCTCGTCATCATTAGTAAGTGTGTCTCTCTCTATGTCAATATTTATACCAATGTTCATGAGGTTTCGATCAACTTCTTCAATCAAACTTTCGATAGGTTTTACACCCATTAGATAATTACACAAGATACAACATGCTACAATCTTTGTAACTGTATCAACTGGGTAATGAGCCTCTGCACCAGTTGAATTAATTAAAAAAAAAGTATAACCACACCAAATACTCTTTCAAATACAATTCGCAAATAAGAATGTCAGAGATTAATAGTTCTTTAGCATTTTCTAGTTCATGTGATGAGTATTTTTTCAAATGGTGGCAAATACCTCTCTATGGAGTTATTAGTACACTCTTTAACAAATAACCTCCATCCACTAAATAATATTTACCTAGAAGAAATAAGAATATTATAAGTTACTCCTTTTAACTTATAAAATCATAAACTTTTGATACAAATGACTATTAAGTCACCTTCACAGATTATTAGTTTATCTTCTCGTTCTAAAACAGCATTTTTTTTTTTATCCTTGAATCAGATGCATATCCTACCCACCGAGGCAAAACATATGTAAATTTCATGTCAAACAAACATGCCGCTAAGACATTTTTTGTTAGATAGTCTTTTCTTCCTTCATATCTTGGTGTGTCTTTTCTTCCTCGCTATGCTTGTAATCCAGGACATTCAAACTGTACCATGTATATTTCGTTCTGATTGTGTGATGAAAAGTTGTAGTGTGCTTGTAGTTTTAAGGGTGGTCAAATTTGACCTATTTGAAATTACAAAGGTCAACACCTGACATAAATATAAAAATTTATATATTTATACTGCAAAACAAGTTGGAGCCTTTTAGAAGACTCAGATAGCTAGCACCAAATGTCTGAAAAAAAACTAATACTGTAGCTTTTAAGTATCAATGCAGCATTTTCTAATAAATAAAAACATTTTCAGTAGGCTTGACTCATTAATTAAACGAGCCTAAAAAGTGACGTCAAGCTCTAATAATTTACATAATGATTGAACATGATCTAAGCCTTTAATGAGTCAAATCTGATTTCTTCATCAATAGTTTGGTCCATTTGCAGTCCTATCAGCAACTCTTTTTTCAAGTAATCTAGGAAGACTAATATGGAGATCCAAATCTTGTTAAACATTGAATTGATGTATCAAATACAACGCGCCAACGCAGTAATATGCTCTTCCAAAAAAATCTTATGTATCATAAATACGAGTTAAGAGGACAAACTGTGCTTAGAGCATTTAAGAAAGCAAATTTAACTACGAGGAAGAGGCTATACCAAGAAAAATAAATAACTACCTCATCACACATCGGTTCCAACTCCAAAATCTTTTCTGTAATTTCTCTCTTGTGATTAACTTTTGGGATCAGATTCATGCTTCCATATGTTGACTTACCATCTGCAAAGGCCTGAAACCAAAGGGCCGCACTTGAAAAGGGGAATCTCAAATAAAATAAAGAGTCTGAATTTAATGTATATAATGAAAACTAGAAACAACAAAAAGTTACCCGTGTACTGCCCTTCCATCCACAATTTCCCCGAAAACAATTCCAAACTGCTGAACTCCTACACATATTGAAATGACCAGAATAGATATTGCTGGCATAAGGACAAGTAATAAGAGAAAAAAAAAAAAAAAAAAAAAGAGTGGCTTACCAATTTGGAGAGATCAAAAGGGATAAGCTGTTCTCGCTAGAATCCCCACCTTTGCACTACGGGGGCAAAAAAAAAAAAAAAAAACTCCAAATAAACCAAGGTTTTAATTTTATCCCAAAAACCAAAATGCTTAAATGAGTTCATCTTCTTTTCTTTTTTTTAAATGAAAATATTTCTTTTGATAAGGTTTTTTTTTTTTTTTTTGAAACACGTAAATATGCTAATACAGAGTCGTATTTATAAATGAGAATTAAATATAACATCTTTAATATCGAATAATATGTATTTATCAATTTTTTTATGCCCTGGATGTGATTGGCCACACTTAAATGCCACAACATGGTCCAATCTGATTCCAGGCATTTTTTTTGCTTTTTTCGATAAGTCTGATTCCAGGCAGTCAGAAGCATTTCAAAACACAATATGCAAGTCCAAACACTCCAATGCGTAAATTTTAGACAATACACAACGCACGAGAATCTTAATATTGTTGAAGATGAGGCATTCCCATTTCAAGCAGCATAAATATTAAATAACAGTGCAAAATCCAATAAAACAATGCCATAGAATTTTCAAATCCAGTTATGCACAAATGAAGTTCAAAATATAGCCTAATCAATATGGATCCTTCTTAATCTCAGAAAAATTCCAAATGTTAAACCTCATGGTACATAAGCTTAAAATCGGGATCAACAATTTTCTTCCATGGTAGCATATTTCTTTTTTATTTGGTTCTGTCGATATATTCAGTGTTTTTTTTTTTTTTTTTTATGCTGCTTTTGTCCAGCTGGAGAACACAGTTCAGGTTAAGCAGCCACTCTGTGAAAACAATACCGAAAGTTCAACCCGTACCCAATTCTACCCCACCCAACACTTTGTATTGAGTGGGACGACCAATGGCTTCATTTTTTGTTCTTTTAAACTTTTTTCCAGTCGGCCCTCGAATAGCTTCTGCTTCTTCACCTTTGTCATTATTTGAAGAGGGAATTGCTAATGACTCTGGCCAGCTCTGTAGCTTTGCGGCTTGCGTTTACACTGGAATTGCGATCGAATCATCATATAATAGTTGCTAGATATAATAACCTTACAAGGCAGCATAGCTATAGCTGTTTCAAGAAGCGAAATTAGGTCCTGATTAAATAATTTTTCTTACAAATAAATTTCAGTTGCTTGAGTTCCCATTTACATTGAGTCTGATAGACCATCATTAGGGTTTTAATATAAAATCCAATACATCACAAGAAGACTTTTATTACTTTGTACAATTGAACATATTTTTAAACAGCAGAATCGAATCATAATTTAAGTTCCTAAAATTCCTTGAACATTTTATTAGGCATACACTTGAAGATGCAAGTCAATGTCAAAGGTGTATTTTATACACTTCATAAATGTCTTAAAAGACATGCATCACTAATGTTTTATCAGTTATCACTTTTAATTATTTCTTATCTTTAGTAACCAATCACATCCATTCCATTATTTGGTTATATATACTAATTACATAACCAAATATATCTATGCACAGACATTTACAATTTTTATAGAAAATTGTTGTCTGGTTCCACAGATGCCTTGAGTATTGGTGTCATTGACACGAGTTAGAGCCTCAGAGCAGCCACTTTTGAAATAATAAATGTTAAGTCTATCTTGAGACTCATCTCTCCCCAGGACACGCTATAGCAGGACTAAAACTGGGTAATACCCTTTTTACATGCATACTTCTTATATTCAATAAAATTTCCTAATTGATCCACTGTTGTTCTGTGTGTGTGTAATCATTCTATAATTAAAATAGTGGTTATATTAGGTATTTTCTTTGCTTAATTATGCTAATATGCTTCTATGATGTCTATACAAAATTATAGATTAGCTATTATTATATAATCATTTCAAATATAAAAATAAATTAATCAAAAGGCTCGCCAAGTATGCTTTACACCTGAACCTTTAAAGTTGGCTCTCACCACCAGTTGTTTGCTTAAGTATCTCCTACCACACCCAAAAGGGAAGTACAAAAGGAATAACCTTGGCTTCTGCTAAATAATTATTTATATTTCTCACATTTGCAAATTCAAATTCCGTAAATTTTACACCTCAGTGCCTAGAAACAACCTATTACTCATAAAGTAAAAGGCCACTTGGAAAACTATGAATGAAACTGACTCAAATTATAGCCAATTCTTTTCTTGGTAAGTTAGTTTTGCATTACATAAATCGTGATTCATTTAGATTGAATTTCACTTTTAGAAAATCAATTTTTAGATGATTATAAATTTCCATTATTTTTGTAACAACAGTTCTTACAACCTGGGCTGCAGAAGCAGCATGCAATAAGACAATAGCAAAGCATGAGCCATGTCAAACTTGGAAAATGAGCCACTTAAGCAAAAAAGTCTAAAATTTAAGCGGCTGAAACACCACCAAGTACTGGGTGAAAGTCATGAGATACTCTGCACAAGTGGAACAAAATTAATTGACACATAGAAAGAGTTCAGATGGAAGTGGATTGTGGGTTACCCAACTTCTTCACATTATTATAAATCATTTTCTTTTTCTACACATCCAGCGCAAAACTAACCATACTCACCCCTTAAAGCTCTGAATTTACTATGGCATGGGTTACACATTTCACATAGATATAACCAAACTAACACAATTTACTCAAAGTATGCAAATTACATACCTGAGGACAAAGTACAGTATGCTGCCCGGGTTTGTAAAAATTATTACCAATTCCAAACTCATCCAGTTTCCGCATCATAACCCCCATTTGAACCGAATCGTTTGGGTTATCGAAGTACACTTCACAAAATAATGAAAAATAAAAACAGTGCCATGTATAAGCCTAACACAGATATGCACACAATACATGAAAACGTTGGTGTAAAGGGAAATACCTGATGGAGGAACACGGGCATGAGAGGCATATGAAATCCATGAAGTTCTGAGAGCTAATGGGTGAATTTCGGAGATGGGTTTTGAAGGGAGGGCAGAGAAGAGGAGTCTATGGGTGGGTGAAGATGGGATTTTTGGTAGTGCTGCGAAAGGTGTGGATTTGATATATTGTTCGGAACGAAAGAGTTTATGGGGATGGCTGCGATGAGGAAAACGCATGTCTGAGAAACGAAACAGCTTGATGCTTCCTTTATCAAGCTTCCAAGGGTTTAGTTGAGATTCTGAGTGCCAGGGTTTTAAGGTCTCTCATAAAAATAGTGGCTTGGGTCACTATATATTTATAGTTTTTTTTTTTTCCCTTTTGTGCAGAAGGAAGGGAAGGGGTGAGACCCTGACACGAATTTGATTTGGGGAACTGATCTTCTCCCTGTGAATTCCTCTCCTTAAGGATTTAATCATATGGCTATTATTGCGCCACATTACTATTTTACCATTCTCCCATTAATTTATCAAAACTTAATTAAATATGATATCTTTTGAATTTCGAGATAACAATTACGACTTATTTTTCATCCATCTCATTTTACTTTTTAGCGCTAAAATTTTCATATAACAATTACCATCAAGCTTCATTTTACTTTTTGGCGTTAAAATTTCTAAGACAATAATTACCATTATGCTTCCCTCTTTCAATTTCTCTCGACTATCATCAATTTTTATTCGTTACAATTTAAGGTTTGGAAGATTTCATAATTTTTTCTAGTTTGAAAAAGTATTTTAAAATCTTGTTGAGAGAAGAATTCCCTTGAAAATGCTAAGAGAAAAATTTCCTCGGAGAGAATGTGCTCCCATTTGAATTTGGGCTCCCAAACTATATCCAGGTAGGGTCTTTACCTACCAGAATACCCAGTTCACCCTTTCTTTTTTCTTTCTCTTTTGTTTTAACAATAAATATATATACTCATGTTTCTTATTACAAGTCTCAAGGGTCAAGGCCATTCGGTAAGTGTTGTATTTTGTAGTGTTTTGTTTTAGGCTAGAATAAAACTAAGTGTTTTATAACATGAGAACAAAATATGTTGGCAAGTATCAAAACATCCATGAACCCAATCTCTCTCTCCCAAACAGGCCCATCCTCAGGCCCATCCTTCGCAAGATTGGTGTCAGTTTCAGTTAATGGAAACTTAGGAGGTCTTCAATCAAGCGCAGGTCACAAAGACTTCGATCATCGTAAATAAGAGACGCGAAATTTGTTTCCTTAATTGCATATTTCTTAACCTAAAAGTGATTCAATATAAATACTAAAGCTTATGTAAACCCTAGTATTAGTGCCGAATGTGAGAATGAAAGAGAGTAAAGAGAGTTTTCTGTATTAGAAATTTTCTGTGCACTTCGAGAACGTAGGCAAAAGATTTTGTAAAATAGCCTCTCTTTGTTTCACACATTACATGTAAATGGGTTTTGATTTTTTGAACAATCTGAAATGATATGCCGATATGGGTTTTGAACTTCTGAAATGATATGCCGAAATGGGTTTTGAACAATCTGAAATGATATGCCGATATGGGTTTTGATTCTTGCAGACAAATAGATAAACTGAAATATATGGGTTTTGAACTTCTGATTCTTGTAGATTTTGTAGTTTGCAGTTGCAGAGAGAGAGAGAGTTTTGAATTTCTGATTCTTGTAGATTTTGTAGTTTGCAGTTGCAGAGAGAGAGAGAGAGGGGGGCCGGGGAGAGAGACCGAGAATAGAGATGGAGCCGATTGGGAGGCTAAATGATTTGCCCTAAAAAAAAAAAAAATTATTTTTATCCCGGTACAGTTAAAAAATGGGCTACAACAATATAAAACATCAAATTGTTGTTCCAATTTTTAGGCCAAATAATAAATTTGTTTTGAAAGTGTTTTGGTACTATTAAAAATGAAACAAATTGGCCTAAACATATTTTGTTTTCAAAATGGGCTACTGTAGCGGGTCTGGAACATTACAAAACATATAGAAACACGTCCCAAAGAGACCCGTTGAGTATGCTAACACAATCTAATAATTTTAGCACTCAGGTTATTGTTCAATCCCCATAATTAAAATATATAGATATATATTATTAAGTTGAGTATTCTAGCATGAATACTTGAATTTATATAGGCAATAATGTTAGCAGTAGGTCATTGGGATTGAACTCACTCACACACTCCTCCCGGTACAGTTAAAAAATGGGCTACAACAACATAAAACATCAAATTGTTGTTTCAGTTTTTAGGCCAAATAATAGATTTGTTTTGAAAGTATTCTGGTACTGTTGAAAATGAAACAAATTGGCCCAAACATATTTTGTTTTCAAAATGGGCTATTGTAGCGGGCCTGGAACATTACAAAACATATAGAAACACTTTCCAAATAGGCCCGTTGAGTATGCTTACACGATCTAATAATTTTAGCACTCAGGTTATTGTTCAATCCCAATAATTAAAATATATAGATATATATTATTAAGTTGAGTATTCTAGCATGAAAACTTGAATTTATATAGGCAATAATGTTAGCAGTAGGTCATTGGGATTGAACTCACTCACACACTCAATTTGCCTAGAAAACTTGATTTCTGGACCTTTTAATAATGTAAAAATCAGATCATTGTTAAATCTCGCTAATTGAAAAGATTGATTAATTTGGTGCGTTTAGTATTCTAACATGATGACTAAAAATAAAGAATAATTGATAAAAATAATAATGATTTGTTAAAAATGATTTGTTCCGTTGAGTATGCTAACATGACCTAATAATGTCAAAAATAGGTCATTGTTCAATCTTAATAATGGAGAAAAATGATTTGTTGGGTTCAATATGCTAACATGGCCTAATAATATTAGAAATTAGGTCATTGTTCAATCTTACTAATTGAAAATAAAAAATTGTGAAAATTAGACAACTGAACTAAATAGGTTCGTATTAATGAATAAAATAGTTAGCACTCTTTTTGCGTGTAATTTCGGCTATTTGTCTAGATCAAAATAGCATGATTATAGCAATTGGGATCAACACCGCCTAATCAAATCACCCAATTGTTACTAATTTAGTAATTTTACAAATAAAGTTGGACATATGAAACCATATAGGATGTAGTCTAATACTTTATCACCTTTCAAAAATAGAAGGTGTTCAAGTACTCTTAGTCCTAACGGCTAGGCCTCACCATGTTTTGCAGAAATTTAAAAATAAACTATTTCATGAAATTCTTTTGAAAAATATATAAGATAAAAGGAAGACAACAACTATATAGTTAAAAATCTAAAAAATCGTGGAAAAAATGAGAACAAGAAAATAATAATTATTAGGGATGCATACAACTACTCAAAGTGGGTTCAAAATAAGCTGGATTTTTTTAGGTTGCGTTTACTAACCGAAAACGTTTTTTGTTTTATGTTGTCAGCCCCTAAAAAGACAAAACAAAAACAAAAAACATGTTTAATAATATGTTTTTGTTTTCCCGTAACAGAAAACGTTTTCTATTTTTGTGAAGAAATGAGAAAACATAAAAAGGTGTTTCTCATGTTTTTGACACTGTTGAGCAAAAACGTTTTCACTATTATTATTACATATATACATTGTTCATTTCAAATAAAATGTATGTTATTCATTTTATATACTAATGCTACATATTAAATACTAATAAAAATATATTTTTAATATATAATTATATATATATATATATATATATATCAGTGTAAATTATTTTTTATTTAACAAAAATATATTTTTAAAATATAATATATTATATAATAGTGTAAATTATTTTTTGGGACAAAAAAAAATGATATATTATATATTTATTATTTATTTTATATAATATTATTAAATTATTATGTAACAGATCTAATATATTATTATATACCATATCTATATTATATTATAATATAGTTATATTATTTAATATTTTTATTTATTATAATATAATATATGTTAAATATATTGTATATTTTATAACAAATGTATAAATGATGCATATGCATGCACTTATATACATAATTGGTGAGATTGTTTTTGTCCTAATATATCTTATTTTGTATTTATGTATTGGTTATTATTAAGATTCATGATTTTAAATTGAATATTATATTTTATTATCATGTATTATATATTTTTAATATTTGTGAATTAATTGAATTGCATACATATTTAACATTTTTTTGTATTAATGAAAAAATTAAAAGTAAAATAAAATAATTAAAAAATGTTATGTAAATTTATAACAAATATGTATTATTAAACACTATTATTATTTCTTACTTTCAAAATTGTGACAACAACAAATGTTAATAAACGTTATTTTTACTTTTTATTGTCACTCAAGAAAACAAAATTATGTTTCTGCTTTCTTTAGATTACAAAAGCAAAAAAAGGAAATGTTAGTAAACACATTAGTATTTTTCCTAAGATAGGTCTAATCACTCAATTAGCATACACTAAAAAAAAAAAAAAAAAAAACAAAATCCACCTAATATAGATGATGGGTAAAGTGCAAAAAACCTCCTGAATTACGTTTGAATTTACAAATAACCCCCCTGAACTATATTTTGTGTATAAAACCCCCTAAACTATTTTATTTTGTTACAACATACCCCAAAGGCTATATTATATTTTATTAAATAATCATAATGCCCCTTCTTATTGAATTACATTTAATATTTTTTTATCTAAATAAATTATGAAAAAATTCATACTAATTTTGATGAGATATTTTTCATTAAATTTGCATAAAATTTATCTTTAATTTTAAATTAATTATTTAATTTTTTTAAAAAAATTTAATTAATTTTTTTATTTTTAATGAATACATTACATGAAAATAAAGTATTTTTCAAAAGTACTTTATTAATTTTCCATCAATATATTGTATGAAAAAGATGATATTTTTTTTTTTTGTACAAGAAAACGTTTAAATTGGTTATAATACATTTTATTATAAATAATAAAATTTTAATAATAAATTAATCAATTTGGAAAATAGTAGTTACAAATTTATTTATCTATTTAATTTTTTAATTTTTATTTTTATGATAAATTGATACGAATAATAAAATTAAGGTAAATAGTATAATTAATATTTACACAAGAGAAAAGATAATAAAAATGATTTAATAAGAAATGAAAATTTTAAGAGAAAGGGTAAAAATAGTCTTTTGTAATAAATTTGTCCTTAATTACAACAAATCAATAGTTCATGGGGGCATTTTTTAGTTCAAAGGTTATTTGCAAAAAAGCAATAGTTTAAGGAATTTTTTTGCACTTCATAGTTAAGATGGAAAGGGCAGTGCTGGCATCTTAGATGTTTTCATAAATATGTTTATTTCTAATTCATGAATTCAGGAGATTCATTCATTCCAAGTCCCAACTATGAACTTGAATAAATTTATTCATCTATCACATCATAGGAAGCAAGAAACATCACATAATTTTAGAACCTTTCAGAGAATTAAAATGCTTATATATATGTCAACGCATTCTTCGTGTGTACATGTAGTTTTTAAATTCGAAGAGTTATGAATCAGAATTATTTGTAGTATGCATATAAATACTTGTAAAGTACTTATGAATGTAAAAATTAAAAGGTTCTAACAATTGAAAGAAATATAAAGAATTTTATTAACAACAGATTTGCCTCCACAACAAAGGGTAGTTGTTCTACATCGGATCCGGATGGAAAGTAAAATGAGTATAAATGAGTGGGTATGCAGCACAACCCAATAACTTAAATTTTTGAATAAATAGATAAACGGCCACCTATTAAAGTTGGTATCAGAACCAGATTCAGTCCTTGATCCATTATCACCCCAAATCTCAGGCCTGGAGACATCCAGGTGAGCCCACCCGAGTAGCCATATAGAGCTAACATACCATTTTCATTCACCTTCTTTTCCCCAACTTCCTTTAATTATTTAAGTTCACAAAAGGAGTGATCATCACAGAAGCTACAAAAATAACACCCAACTGTAGCATCCAAAACCCAAACAAGATACGCACCACAGCTGGGAATAACATTAACACCCCAAAGCATATATTACAAACACTTCTAGCATGCTACCACATCTCTGCCTAAGAACTGATCTCGGCAACAACCACTCAGCTGCAATTTAACAAGCCACAGAAGATCTCCAAACCAGCAAGCTGTACAGATATTTTTCACTAATGTACGGATTATAATTTATCAAGTTCACTTGCTTACGAGGACATTACCCAGTGGCCTAGTTGGTAGAGCACCCATCTCTCCGATCAGGTGCCCGTGTTCGAGTCCCTGCGCTTCACTACTAATAGGTGTTGTGTACATATGAATGGATGTCTTCCAAACATTTCACTGGTAAAAAAGTCCGAGTTGGTTCAATCCCTAATCAAATTACAAAATTAGATTATAAGGGAACTAGATAGAAAATAGGTTAGCAGCAACCATTCAAAAATCAAGAACTGTATAGTCTGTAGTGCCGGCAATTTTCCAGTATGGTTGCTGTAGAAGCAAGCTCGGTTAAATTATTTTGTTTATATAAATGACGAAACCACATCTAATAATACCAAAACAAACAATATCAAGTATATGAGAATAATTAAAATATAGTGCAAGAAAAAAATAGAAAAGACTTACTGAGATTAATGAATAGGATAACAAATAATTAGTGACTCTTCAAGGGTCATTTTCTCCGTGCATCATCTTATTTAGCAATTCCAAACGCCGGTCAAATGGAACACCAAAAAATGCGCTTTTGTGCTGAGAACATTTGAGAAGGAACGAAAATGCATCCGACTGAATACAATCAGGAACTCCAATGTTTATCAGTTCCGCAAATACTTCTTCGTCTGAATGATAATCAGCTCGTGCTTTCTCAGCTATTGCAACTATCTTTGCTGCAATTTCGAGTCCCCTCTCAGCAACAAGATTTCTTTTTTCAATTGCCTCAGCTACCTTGTTAATTCCAGATTCAATGACTTCAATCTCTTTCCCAAATAAATCAACCATTAGATCATTTCTTTTTGTACCTTTTGAAGACTCCCCACACTCTGAATTTGACTCATAGTTGTCTAAATTACAACCAGTTGAGGTGCCAGTATCCATTGCCCATTTGAGAACTTTTTCCTTTGCACTAACAAAACCTTGACCATTAGCTCTATCTTTTGCAAAAAGTTCATACAACTTACCATAATGGTTTATTTTGGTATGCCTCCATTTTGAAGCTGATGGTTTCTCCTAGAAAAGTAAGAAACGTATAATAGGCATTCAAATATATATAAATATATATAAAACGATTAAATGAACTAACAATAAAATAATTAAAATAGAAGTCTAACAAAATTCCTACGTACCTCTATGAGGGCCTTCCATACTTCTGGCTCAGCCTCAAACAATTTTGTTTCTGGACTCCATGATATCCCACTTAAATTTTTGAATAATTCAAAACATGTGTTAAATTTCGTTTTCAAATAATAAATACGATTTTTCAACTGACGTTTAGTAAACGGATAGGCAAGTTTTTGAGAGCATATCTTCATAGCATTTAAATATGCAACAGAATACAAAGTTCCATCAACTATATTCCCATTTTCTTGTTGCTCCAGTAGTGCATCAAATAATACGTCATCCATTTCTTCAGTCCATTTTACTGCATTGTTCTTAATTTCATCCACATTCATATCTTTATTTGATTTCTTCATTTCCACAACCTGTAATTTTTTAATATCAGATAACAATAAATTTTCTATACCATCACCCCCTTTTTTTTAAAAAGGGTAGAAATATAAGCCCACAAATGACAGAAATTTTTAATTTGAAATATGCATCTAATATAATAAAACAAAGTAATTACAAATAAAATGTCATAATTATTCAGTAAGTTAAAGACATGAAAGTACTGTTACAAATAGAAAAAGGAAAAAGAAACATTATGGTTCCTAATCCTCCCACATGTTAGCTGCTATGGCATTCCCTAAAATCGATCCTTGCTTAGCCTCATCATCATTAGCAAGTGTGTCTCTCTCCTCGTCAATATGTATATCAATGTTCATGAGGTCTCGATCAACTTGTTCAATCAATATTTCATCACGTTCTACACCCATTAGATAATTATGCAAGATACAACATGCTACAATCTTTTAAACTGTATCAAATGGGTAATGAGCCTCTGCACCAGTTGAAATAATTGGAAATCGTTTTTTAACCACATCAAATACTCTTTCAATTACATTGTGCAAGGAAGAATGTCGGAGATTAAATAATACTTCAGCATTTTCTCTCCTCGGCAATATGTATATCAATGTTCATGAGGTCTCAATCAACTTGTTCAATCAATATTTCATCACATTCTACACCCATTAGATAATTATGCAAGATACAACATGCTAAAATCTTTGTAACTGTATCAAATGGGTACTGAGCCTCTGCACCAGTTGAAATAATTGGAAATCGTTTTTTAACCACATCAAATACCTTTCAATTACATTGTGCAAGGAAGAATGTCGGAGATTAAATAATACTTCAGCATTTTCTAGTGCACGTGTTGTGTATTCTTTCAGATGGTAGCGATTAGTGAACACCTCTATATGGAGTTATTAGCCCATTCTTTAACATATAACCTCCATCCACTAGATAATATTTACCTAGAAGAAATAAGAAAATTATTTGTTACTCTTTTTAACTTATGAAATCACAAACTTGATAGAAATTACTATAAGTTACCTTTAGGGATTATTACTTTATTTTCTCGATCTAAAAGAATTTTTTTTATTACCCTTGAATCAGATGCAGATCCTTCCAATCCCACCGAGGCAAAACATATGTAAATTTCATGTGAAATGAGCATGCCGCGAAGACATTTTTGTGTTGGATAGTCTTTTCTTCATAGATATCTTGGTGTATCTATTTTAGACACTTTCATACGAATATGAGTCCCATCAAATTGATCCTACACAATCCTGAAATTTATAAGAAGTGTATTATTATTGTTTTATATGTAGAAAATATTTAAAAAATAATATTAATGGTATAAGATTTATTTTTACCTTGAAATATAGATAGAATCTTACTATTGCGTATTTGTGGAGGGTCTTCCGAAGCACTTGGTTGTTTTAGGTATAAAGTTTCTAAACTGATTGTTGCTTTTAGCACATCATGAAAATGGTAACAAACAGTCCCGCCAGATTGAACAAAGAAGAACTGGATGGCACGGTTTTTCACGTTATGCGCTCAGACATAAAGAAACTTACTTTCTCCTCAACCAAAGCATTTCTATTGTCCTTGCAATGACCGGTAAAATGAAGTAAGTTACACAATTTAGTAAATGCATATGGTCCCATACGTTATATGTCACTATAATTCTCACCAGAAGCAAGTTTTTTCATTAGTTGTTCATGTACACTAAGTTTTTCCCCATCAATGTCATCTATTGCCCTTTTCACATAGTGTCAATGCAATGTCATTCCCATCATCTAAAGTACGTGAACATAATAAATAAGTTGAACCACCTCCATTTTTCATCTCCATTTCCAACTATTTAAATATTCTACAATATTTTTGCACAAAGTTTCTTCTTCACAGTCTTCCAGTTCATCTGCATCATTCTTATCCCAACTATCATTTAAATCTCCGACTATTTCCATCTAGCAAATCTATGTAATCAATAAATAATTTGTAACACAAATGATGAGAAACTAAAGTTATTACGTAGTAACTAACGGGTCTCCAAAATTTTTAGCTAATTATTATTCGGTATATATATATATACACACACACACACACACATATTAACTCACTAAACCATATTTGACATAATGGTAAAAGTGTAGCATGAGAGCTTTTTTGCCATTTAATCATCTCCAGGGTACTACTTAAGAAGGCATTCGGGCCTAGCCTTCTTGACTTTCATTAAGTGCCAAATTGGAGAGGAAAGGTGGTCGACCTTTGTCTATGTGGAAGCTGGCGTGGCTAAAATGCTATGAGCTTATATATGCAACCCACTAAACCGCTAAACAAATAAAGTTCTAGAGTTCTTAAAGTACACACATTCACCCTTATTCAAAATCACAAAAATGAAGGTGGTAGATAGATTGGTATTAAATTCCTTAAATGATTCCATTGGAGGTAGGCAGATTTTGGATCTGACACTGAAACAAACGAACATGTGACTTTGAGAATCAGAAAAAATTGTTGTTACAAGTAAGCTTCAATCTCGAGAAGGTACATGTTCATGTGCTCTAAGGGACCTCACGATGAATTATTGATGTAGGACAAGAGAGCAACCTTAAATAGCTAAGAACTCAAAGAATTCAGAGTCTGAAAGTTCTAACAACTAGGGCTGAAATTTGGAGGTTCGATGGTAGAAATGTAGAAAAACAAAGGAGAAGTGGCTGGAAATTCAAATAAACAGAGCTATGGTAGTAGAGAGAGGATTGAAAACAACAAAAACCTATTGAAATCACACGAACAAGGCCTAGGCATCACACCCCTAAAGAAGGCCTCACACCCTCAGAATTTGTGAATCACTCACAAAAAAATCTCCAAGATTTTTATTCATTCATTGACTGCCTCACCAAGTTTATATCATACCCTTCTTATAACAACTTATGACCCTCAGATTACCCCATGATTGAGGTAATCAGAAGTTGACTCTATAGCATAATAAAAGTAATCACCCCGTAATTGAGGTAATCAATATTTGACTCTATGATTACCCCATAATTGAGGTAATCAATATTTGACTCTAGCAAAATAAAAGTAATTACTATGGACGGATGCAATTTGACTGAAATTGATGCAAGCTACAATAATTATGCAATTTGACCAAATCCCCCTAATTATGAACGACTCCAAGTGGACCCCCCATCATCTAGCATGTGCCAAATTAAGGCTTGAGCCATGTAACTTTCCTTTTTGCGCCTTTTGTATATCCTTAAAGATGTCTGCAATTGATCTCTATCACTATCAATTCTCCCAGGCTTGGGAAAACTCGAACCCAACGAGTTAAAAGGATAAAATTGCTTATAAAGGTAAGGAGGTAGGCATTGGAACTCATTGTCGTTAATCCAAGTACAATAAAAAAGTGGACATCCCCTCCCGTTACCAAGGAACGTTTGATAACCACATCCGCTTGTTGAAACAAGTTGGTGATCAAATAACTGATTAACAATTGCATCGAGGAAAAGGAAGCGCCTTCCAGTATGAAGTTTGAAAATCAGCGTCCAGGCAATATTCATAACAGCACCCATAAGGTATTCCAAGGAACCATTATGGACCATCTGTTTTGCTTTCATAGCAGCATCAACCTCTGAGAAAACACATGCCGATTGGTTGACCTCTGCAAGCAAATCAATCTTCAAGTTAGGAGTAGAAAAATTAGAAAGCCTCATATTGCGTAGATGTGCGCCCAAGAAGATTTTTTGAATCTGGATGCAGCCGGAAGGTATGACATCACAAAAGCTGAAATGACAATCGCAAAGGAACCCTAGGAAATCATAAAGTAGAACTAGCAACACCTCGAGTGTAACTTTATAAAGAAAATGAACCGGCTCCCTGAGTTCAGCATTTCTCAGGAATGGTTCCAGAAATTGGAACAAATTTACCAGCGAGCCTTGAAAATAAGGCCACCCCTTTTGAGAGTTTCCTGGCAACAATTTTGACATGAAATTTTTGTGCCTCACCAGCTCAAGCCACGCAAAGCTGAATGCATGAACTGTAAGGGGCTACAAAGCGTGGAATGCACTAGAAAAAGCAGTCAAAACCTGAAATTTTCCACCATCAAAGACAGGTTCAAGGGAACCCTGGTCCAGCAGCCAGTTCAGGAACAACCTAAAATATGGCCTTGGATTAACAAATGCTTTCTTCTTCTCTGCATCTTCCTGAATAAATTTTACGGTTATTATCAAAACCTTAGGTAGAATAGAGAGTTTAATAGGTCCATGGTCGACAGAGCAGAACTTGAGGATTGCAAAGACCAGTTTTGCATATCTATCAAAGGCAAGGAAAGACAGCGGCTGTACTTGTTGAGATGATTGCAAAGCATGTGATACGGAAAGTTCCAAGAGGTGGCGAAAAAAATGGTCTGGCATATCATCCCCTTTCAGAAATCCACTGTGCTGCAATTGCAAGACATAATGGGCACAACCAGCAGCATTTGCACCAGGAAGTTCACATATCTGATACCACTTTGCAAACAACATGGACACCTGCTCACAAAAGCCAGCAGGATCTGGTTCCACTGGCTCAGGGACAGTATATTCTTCCCTACCAGCTGCTGAATGATCAACAACCTTTTTGTCTCTCGGTGGTCTGTATATCCTCCTTTTTGACAATTACACAAGCCAATGCGATAGCAATGGCAGAAGGATTCCTTGCATCCTTAACCATCCGTAGAAATGACTTCGGAGACCCAGGTCTAGCCACAAGTGTTGCCAGTGCATGAACGAGATTATGAGGTTCCGAAATGACGCTGGAATCATTGATCACCAACGCCTGAATAAGGGAGACTGCAAACTCAGTAGCAGACTTATTCCTTTCAACATTAATAAGCTTTGCTATGGGCATGTTATATTCCGACATGTATAGCAAGTCTTGGCGAATAAGACTGTTAGAAGTTTTATATATATATGTTGGGTCATTATGTAATTACATTTAGTTAATAGGACCCTCGTGTTATTATGCAAAACTTGTACCCTTTATATATAAGCCTACA